CTCCTCCTCATGTTCCTCCTCCTCCTCCTCCCACTCATCCCATTCCTCCTCCTCCTCCTCCTCCTTTTCCTCCTCCTCCTCCCATTCCTCCTCCTCTCCTCCTCCTCCTCCTCCTCCTCCTCCTCCTCCTCCTCCCCCGCCCTCTCCTCCTCCCATTCCTCGGCTGTCCTCGTCCTCCTCCTCCTCCTCCTCCTCCTCCTCCACATTTACTCAATATGAATATTACTCTCCCTCTTCCCCTGATGGCGTGCTGGGAATATTCGACCCCCCCCCGCGTACTGTTTTTTACACACAGGATTCCCGGGAGTTGGGTTTTCGCCTACGTTTTTTTTCAAAATGCTGCTCTCGCTGAGGCGCCGGCCTCATTTCTGCTCCCGAATCGTTCCGAATCGTGCTCCCGCTGCAGCGTGGGCCTCATTTTCGGATCGGTGTTTTGCCTCCGTCGTTCAGGATGGCGTTCTCGCCCCAGCGCGGGCCTCTTTCTCGCGCGCCCATCCGCCCGCCACCACCGCGCCGCACCACGCCCCGCCCCGCCGCACGCACACCCTTCCACCCACCAACGCACGCACGCACGCACGCGCACCACCACCGCGCACCGCCACCACCACCGCACTACCCCACCCACCACCACCACGCTACACCGCGTCACACCACATCACACGCGCGCACACACAGACACACACGCACGCACGCACGCACGCACGCACGCACGCACGCACGCACGCACACACACACACACACACACACACACACACACATACACACACACACCACACACACGCACACACACACACAGACACACACACACACACACACACACCACCGCCACCACCACCACCGCCATCACGCACGTACGCACCTGGCCCACCACCAAACCACCAAGACGCCACACCACGTCACACCACAGCACACGCGCACACACACACACGCACACACACACTCATACACACCACCACCACAACAACCACAACCACGCACACACGCATGCACGCACGCGCACCACCACCCACTACGCACACGCGCGCGGAGCCACAGGTCCGCTACGACACGCGTCCGCGGATAGAGAAAATCAGCGCCATGGTAAGGGATGGGAGGGAGGGGTAGGATGTCAGATGTTGACGCGAGCGCACCTAACTTGTCCCCTCCCCCTCCTCCCTCCCCCTCCCCCTCCCCCTCCTCCTCCTCCTCCTCCTCCTCCTCCTCATCCTTCTTCATTCCTCCTCCCCCTCCTCCTCCTCCTCCTCCTCCTATCCTCCTCCTCCTCCTCCTCCTCTCCTCCTCCTCCTACCTCCTCCTCCTCCTCCTCCCATTCCTCCTCCCCCTCCTCCTCCTCCTCCTTCTCCTCCTCCTCCTCCTCCTCCTCCTCCTCCTCCAAGGGAGGATCGAGACAACATCGCACCATCGATCGGACCTCTGTGAGAATCGGCGGGTTCGGAGGATGTCTCGGGCAACGCCGTCGTCGCAGAGCGCGCTGGAGCGCTCTGAGAGCGTTCTGGAACGCTCTGGAACTGATTGTTCCTCGTTCTACTACCCTCGTTAAAATTAACTTCAAAAATGGCGACCACGCCCCTGCGATGTCGGCGCGCCCTTCAATGTCGATAGACGCCACTCCAGTATCGGGGCCAGGGCAAAAGTGGTCTGACCGGGGGACTTGGAAGTTCGATGATGGCCGACATTGGAGGGGCGGCGCATACAAGTACCTCGCAGTCATCGCTACTCTGTCCAGTATCACCCCAGAGACAGTTCAGCCACGCGAAACATTTTTGAGGTTAAGTTCGACGAGGGTTGTAGGCCCGCCTGGTACTCCTCCTCCTGACGCAAATGCTGCTGGCATAGAGGTCGGACTCCTCCTCCTCTTCCTCCTCCTCCAACTCCTGCTCCTCATCCACCTCCTCCATAATCCTCTTCATGACGAATAAATCCTCCCTGTCGAAGCCCGAGGCCAGTCGAAAGGGCGGTTACTGACCATGTCTGATCCTGTGACTTGGAATTTGCATGAACGCTTCACAGATGGAGGGTGGCCCGCTTTCAAAATGTGGCTCTCGCCTCAGCGCCGGGCGCACTCGTCTCAAACCATGTGCAGGAGGTTCGTGGATGAAGGGCGGTTCCTTTTCAAAATGCGGCTCTCGCCTTATCGCCGCGCATATTCGTCTTAAACAACTGCGAGACTCTCACAGATGAGGGCGGTTCCGTTTCAAAATGCGTCTCTCGCCAGAGCGCCGCGCACATTACGCCCAAGAGTTTGCAACACTTGCAAAAATGTTACCTGCTTAACGTCCAAGAGATGGTTTTTTGGCACGATGTCGGAACGTCAAGGCGCAGCAGTTACGCAATCTCGCGGTGTTGCAATCCAACGTTATGTTGCTCCCATCGTACTTAAGGACCGCATCCCACAAATGATTTCGAGCACCCGGAAGAGTGTCGAAACAGTGTCGAAATCGTGTCGAACGGGTCTCCCAGGGCCCGACACGTGAAAACCGTTGAGTTTCGGTGCTTTCTTGGTGCTCGAAATTCTTTCTGGTGATTCGGCCTAAAGTAGGTTGATGGTGCTTTGGCAGGATGCCGTCGCGCTCCTCCTCCGCAGCTGCCTCGCGCCGCTGGCGGGTCGAATGCTGCGCGGCGGCCCGCCGGGGGGCTCTCTCCGGCCAGGGGGGGAGAAGAAGAGGGCTGGGAGGTCGGGGGCCAGGATAGGGGGGATGGCATAGGGGGGGATACATCGACCCCCAATAGTCCATAGATCGCCGATGGGGATCGGATAGCTTTACCCCACCCATGGCTGTGCGGATTCGCTATCGGGGACCCATCGCTGGTCCATCGGCGATGTGCCGTTGATTTAGGTTGATAATCCCCCCTATGCCAGTCGCCCCCTATGCCAGCCTGTGCTGGGGGTAATGGGGGGAATGGCATGGGGGGGGATGCATCGGCCTGGAATCAGCGATAAATCGCCCATCGATCGGCGATGCTAGAAGAACAACAAAAACGCTGTAAACAGAAACTTTCGGCACTCCGCGCGGATTTCTTGGATCCGCGCTGGAGCCCCCTCCCTGGCGCGCGGAGCGCGCCAGGGGTGGCGCCGGAGGCGCCGCCGGTGAGGGCCCAGGCGCGGAGCCAAGAAATCCGCACGGAGCGCCAAAAGTGTATGTTTATGTTTTTTCTTCTTCGAGGAATGGTATAAGGGGGTATGCATCGACCTGGAATCGGCGATACATCGCCGATGGATCAGCGATAGGCCCCCAATGGCGAATCCGCACCTCCCTGGGCGGGCTGGGGCTATCAGACCCCTGTCGGCGATCAATGGGCGATTGGGGGTCGATGCATCCCCTTCTATGCCTATCCTCCCCCCCATCGTTGCACCTGAGGAGGCAATTCCTGGGAGGCCTTCGTCAGAACGACTGCGGAGTACATATGCAGTAGACCAAGAAGAGTTGAACAGGAGCGTGCCGGACCAGGCCGGTCTCCGACCACGGACGTACCAGCGCCGGATGCTGGACCTAACCTCCCAGGTATTGCATCCGAAGGCCCACGGGCTCTCCGGCAGCGAGGAGACGAGGATGGCGACAGGCGGAAGGATCTGCTGACGCACTTTCAAAAGACGACGAAAGGGAACCGCCACTCCTCGTCAGACCAACCACCGCCAACTCATATCACCTCCAGGATGTCCCGGCAGACCACGGCCACGAACGACGCCACAGCGAGAGCGCTGCCAACCACGAGGAGCACCCAGCCTGGTGAGGTGAGCCCCAGGGGCAGGAGCGAAGGAGACTGCGGGAGAAGTACACGTTGGTCGGAAAAACATGTAAAAACATGAACTATGAAGGAATGGGAAGCAGATTGGGCTTCCGTCCGCCGCCTGAAGATGAGGGAAATGGGATCACCGCTCGACTCTTGAAGGAGGAAGGCGGCTAAAATTGATTGGACGTTGGAAATCAAAAAAAACACATACTTTCAACGACCGACGGGTAGAAGCGGGAAGGAAACGGGAAACTTGACAGGACGAGGGCGATCAGGCACAGGACGTCAGCAGGTGGAACCAGAGTGCAGGAGGGAAGAGGTGGTGCAGGATGGAAGAAACTCGGAAATACAGACTCGAGGGACTAGGACGAATGAGTGTTTAGATGACATGTCGAGGAATTGGCAGATCCCAAAGGAAGAAGCTGGGAACGGATGGGTGGGGCCGCCTAATCTATGGCCCCCTTACACCCTGCCTACAAACCAGGGCGCAGGAGGCCAGGACGATCCGCATTGTGATCGTACTCCTTCTCCTCCTCATTCTCCTCCTCCTCTTCCTCCTCTTCCTCCCATTGTCCTACCCTTCCTCCCGCTCCACCCCACCCCTTCGTTCTCCTACCTCCTTCCCTCCCTCATCCTCCGTATTCTCAGAGGGCGGTGGCATTTGTGACGCGATGCTTTCCTCGCCTCCTGCACCCAGAACATTTACTGCATTCGACTCGTGCTGGCAATTCCCACATTTTGCGTATCCCGGCCCAGCCACATGCGGCGGGGCTGGCACAGCTGGGAATAGCTGGTGCCGTTGCCTAAGTTCTTGCACTGACGTGTCGCGTTTCGATTGTCAGGGGGGAATAGCGGCATTCGTGCCTGGCGGGTTGGGCGGTTGTTCACTCCACGGAAATGTGTTGCCGATCGTTTCCCCCATCCCTCCAGCCCGAGCCTCCCGCGTAGCGAAATGATCAACCAATCCTCGTCCGCAGCCTCTCACCGTGCCAATTCTGTGGCCACGGAGCGATGAACCACCCACGAGGTCGCTGACGAGCCGAATGCATACCAGTGCGAAGGAAGAGGGAGGGGGGACGAACAAGGAGCGGGCGACGACTGGGGAACAAGGAGGATGTACCGTGGAGCCGCCGACTGCCCCACAAAGCACCGTTGGCCTGCTTCCTGTCTGCCTAGCAAAGCCCAGCGCAAAGTGGTCTTCAAACTTCTGCTCAAGCAATGACAATATTCATCATGATCCTTTGCCCTGCTATGAGATTACACCAGTTGTCCCATCGATAAGGCAGCTTGAAGAGAAATCGTAGCTGTCCTCATCCTCCCCCTTGTTCCCCCCCTCCCACGTGGTCCTCGTTCCTCTCAAGCGAGACACCTTGCAAACGCGACGCATGGATTCGGTTGGCCGGCTTCTCGTTGCTAGCCGCCGCTGCCTTTGCACAGCATGCTCGCATAGCTTCCCGTGCGAATTCCGGCCGGATTTTGCACGGATTAGAATGGGCTCGGGGCGCAAACGGGGCCTGATGGATTTGACGTGTTGTTTTTCATAAGAAACCTGCGCGAACCTCTCCCCACGACTCCCTCTCGCTCTATCTGTCTCGTTATGTTTCCCTTTCCCATTCTATATGTCTCTCCCCTGCTCTCTCTCTCTCTCTCTCTCTCTCTCTTTCTCTCTTTCTCTCTTTCTCTCTCTCTCTCTATATATATGTCTTTGGTTATGGTTCTCTCTCTCTCTCTCTCTATCGTTCTCTCTCTCTCTCTCTCCCTTTCTCTCTTGATGGTTTCCCCCTCTCTCTCATTATCTTCCCTTCTCCTTTCTTCATGTCTTTCTTCATTTCAATCTCTATCTCTCACTCTCTCTTTATAGATATCATGTTTTGTTTCTCTCTCTCTCTCTTTCTCTATTTCTCTCTGTTTTTTTTTTCTCTCTCTCTCTCTCTCTCTTCCTCTCTCTCTCTCTCTCTCGTTCTCTTTTGACTTCTCAATATCTCTCTCTCTCTCTCTCCCTCTCTGTTGCTTGATTCTCCTTTGCTTCGTCAAAACTCATCCTCCTTTCCGCCAGGAGGAAGGGAAGGGAATATCCCCCTCCTCCCCCTCCTCCTTCTACTTCTACGCCACCCCCATCCCGGAGGAAACGGAAGGGGGAAGATCCTTCCCGTTCGCCCCCCCCCCCCCCCCCTCCCACTCCTCCCGGGGGAATGGGAAGGGGGGGGGGGCGCCCTCAGCCTCCTTCCTGACAGAATGGGCAGGGAATGACCCCCTTATTCCACCTCCTTCTGATGGAAATGGTGAGGAACACAACCTCTTCCTCGCCCTCCCTGGGGGGGGGGAGAAGGAGAGGAGCTTCGTTCCCCTCCTCCCCCTTCCGAGGGAAGGACAAGGAAGGAACCTCCTCCCCCCCCCCGCTGCCCTGAACTGAAGGGCAGGGAACTGCTCCTTCCTGCGGGAAAAGGAAGGGGAGGCCTCCTCCTCCTCCTCCTCCTCCTCCTCCTCCTCCTCCTCCTCCTTCTGGCGGAAAGGGAAATGGCAGAACCTGCCCCCCCTCCTCCGCCTCCCCCCCCCCCCTTTCCTGAGGGAAGGGAAGGGAATGAGTCTCCCCCTCCCCTTTCCTGAAGGAAAATGAACGGAGTGAGCCTCATGTCCATCCTCCTCTCTCTGGGGGGACGGGGGGGGGGCGAATGAGCATCCTCTTTCGCCTTCCTGGGGGGCAGGGGATGGAAGGGAACCGCCTCCTCTTTCTTCATGAGGGAAAGAAAGGGAAGGGTTGTCCTCCATTTTCTCCCACATCAGCCCCCCGCTATTCCTCCTCCTCCGGATGGAAAGGGGCAGGAGGGGGGGGCTCCTCCTCTTCTTCTCTGAGGCAAAGGGAAGGGAAGGCATCTTCTTTCCCCTTCCACGTCCTCCTCCTCCTCCTCCTCCTCCTCCTCCTCCTCCTCTTCCTCCTCCTCCCTTTCGCCGGAAAAGGGATGGAAGGGAAGGAACCTCCTCCCCCCCCTCCTCCTCCCCCCCTCCTCTGCCCGGATTGAAAAGGAATTGGTGGGACATCCTCCTCCTCTATCCTGAGGGAAAGCGAAGGAAAGGGGGCCTCCCCCTCCGCCCTGAGGGAACGGGAAGGGCATGGGCCCCCTCATCCTCTGCATCCCCCTCCCTGAGGGAAGGCGAGGGGATGAATGTCCTCCCCATCCTTGCTGAAAAAAAGAAGGTGGCGCGCCTCCTCCTTCTCTTCCTCCCTCTGAGGAACAAGGAAGCGAATGAACGTCCTCCCCCTCCTTCCTGGCGGACAGGGAAGGAATGGGAACCGCCTCCTCTTTCTTCCTGAGGGAAAGGAAGGGAAGGATTATCCTCCTTATTTTCTCTCTCTCTCTCTCTCTGTCTCTCCTCCTCCTCCTCCTCCTCCTCCTGAGGGGCAGGGCAGGGAAGGGGTTTCATCCTCATCCTCCTTCCTGAGGGAAAAGAAGGGAATGAGCCTCCTCCTCTTCCTCCTTCCCCCTGGTGGAAAGGGGCAGGACGGGGACCTCCTCCTCTTGTCCCCTGGGGCAAAGTGAAGGAAAGGAGCCGTATTTCCCACTTTTTCTTCCTCATCCTCATCCTCCTTTTTGTCTGAATGGGGATGGCAGGGGGGAGGAACCTCTTAGTATTCTTTTGCCCTGGTTGAGATGGAATTGTTGGAACATCCTCCAGTCCTGAGGGAAAGCGAAGGGAAGGGGGCCTCCTCCTCAGTCCTGAAGAAAAGGAAGGGAATGAGCCTTCTCCTCCTCCTCCTCTGCACCCTCCTTCCTGAGGGGATTGGAGGGGAAGGGAAGTTCCTGCTCCTCCTCCTCTCTTCTGGAAGACAGGGAAGGATCTTAAGATGATTGAGGGTCTCCCTCTCTGGGGGGGGCCTTGTGTGGGGGGTCACACATCGATTCTCTTTGTGGGGGCTGCAACAATATTAATTCTGTGTGAAGGGGGTACACACTGATTCCTTTTGTGGCAGAATTACGCATCGATTCCTTTTTTTGTGAAGGGTTGCACATCGATTCCCTTTGTGTGAGGGGATACACATCAATTCCCTTTTGTGGCGGACTTACATATGTGTTCTCTTTGTGTGAGGGGCTACACATTGACTTCCTTTGCTGCGGAATTGCGCATACCTTCCCTTTGTGGGGGTGAAACATAAAGTCGTTTTTGTGCGAGGGGGTAAACATTGATTGGCAGAGAAAGGGGGGGGGCCTGGGGGAAAGGTCCCAGCAACAAAAACAATAGCCCCCCCCTGAATCCACTGGGCCCTCTCCCCCACTCCCCTCCTCCCTTTCCCCGCAGCGGCGATGAAAAACCAAGAAAGCACAAGGAAAAACCAAACCAACCAAACAAATCAAAGGTTGGGAGCCGAAAAACAGCAGAAAACCTAAGGAACAACCAAACAACAACAACAACAACAACAACAACAACAACAACAACAACAACAACAACAACAACAACAACAACAACAACAACAACAACAACAACAACAACAACAACAACAACAACAACAACACCAACACCAACACCAACACCAACACCAACACCAACAACAACAACAACAACAACAACAACAACACAATTTCATGGACCTCCTCCAACCCCACCGCCCCCTCCCCCCTCCTCCCGAATGCATGCTGGAATATGTGTTGTTTCTGTGTTGTTTGGTTGTTCTTTCAGTTTTCTGCTGTCGTTCGGCTCCCAACCTTTGATTTGTTTGGTTGTTTTGGTTTTTCCGTGTGTTTTCTTAGTTGTTTTCATCGCCGCCGTGGGAGAATGGAAAGGAGGATGAAGGCGGATGGGGAGGGAGGACTGTGAAGGGAGGATGAAGGCGGAGGAGGAGGAGGAGGAAGAGGAGGAGAGGGAAGAGGAGGAGGAGGAGGAAGAGGCGGAAGAGGATGAGGAAGAGGAAACAAGACCACACATACAATCCACCAGGCCCCCTTTGCGCCCCAAGCCTAATGTTATCCCTTTCCAGCGCCCTGATTCCATGTGATTGTGCTGCACGGTTTCCCCTGGGGCCGTAGGCGACCCGAGGATGAGGAGGAGGACGAGGAGGAGATGTAGGAGGGGGAGGGGGGGGAGATCAGGGAGCCCACGAAGGACGCACGCGTCCAACTATGTACATGAACACGGCCCCTCGATCCGCGAGACCCGCCGCGAGAGAGTTCGCGCAAAGCGTACTCTCTCGGAACCAGCGTGGATTCATGTACTTGTACGTCCTCCTTTCGCTCCTGAGAGATGGAGGAGGAGGGAGGGAGGGAGGGAGGGAGGGAGGGAGGGCGGGCGGGCGGGCGGGCGGGCGGGCGGGCGGGAGGGAGGGAGGGAGGGAGGGAGGAGGAGGAGGAGGAGGAGGAGTAGGAGGAGGAGGACGGGTCGCCTAACCCCCTCGGAGAAACCCTCCAGATTGCGCATGGCTTGCAATAGGAACCATACAGGATCCGCTCCGGAATACACGCCAGCTGCTGTTTTCCAATGTTCTCCGGCTCGCGCCGCGGACCCCACGCGCAGATCCGCGCCCTGGACGGACAAAACCATGCAGAATCCGCGCAGAACCCATCCTGCAGAATGCCCCGCCTGATTCTTTTGCTGATCACGCTCAGCATCCTTCGGGGAACAAAGAGTGACGTAAACATAAAAACTCGGAGGTCCGCGCGGATTTCTCGGATCGGCGCTGGGGCCCTCTGCGGCGCCTCAGGCGCCGTCCCTGGCGCGCTCCGCGCGCCAGGGAGGGGGGTCCAGCGCCGATCCGAGCAATCCGCGCGGACCTCTGAGTTGTTATGTTTATGTCACTTTTTGTTCCCCTAATCCTCCCCCTGTCCAGTGTTTCTGATCCGCCCTTCGGCGGTGGACAAATCTCCCATTAGTATAAACCACCCTTTCGTGAAAGCGGCCTGGGACCGAAACCGACGGACCTGGACCCGCAAAAATGACGGCCGCGACGCCCTCTGGCGAACCGAAAACTGGCAATTCGCTCATCGACGTGTCAGGGTAGGAGGTCTGCCCACCCGCGAGCCCTCTCCTCATAGTGTTCTCCCTCCTCCTCCTCCTCCTCATCCCCCTCCTCCTCCTCCTCCCCCTCCTCCTCCTCTCCGCCCGTCGCCTTCTCCTCGCCCTCCTCAGGCCGCCGACTGACTCGCGTGGGGGCTGACCATCGGTGCAGCCGGGCCGGCGGGCCTAGGGCGCTGAAGACTCGAGTTCGTCGCCGCTTGAGGGATAGAGTCACAGCGCCGGGTATCCGCACGCCGAACAAGAGCCAACGGCGTGAGAGATCCTTCGGCCACCAAGCATCCTCGTCGTCTCTCCTATTTCTCTTCGAGCGCTACTGCGCGGAGCATCCGTGAACGGCACGTCGACGCTTGCCCGCCCCGCCGCGCACGCGAGCACACAAGAGAGCGCGCGAGGGGCAGCAAGAATGCACGGAGACGCTGGCGCGCACAAGCCGAACACCTGTCCCCCATTTCCTACAAGTTCCACCTCCAGAACCTCCACCAACAGAAACTGTCCTCCCTATTCCTCCTCCTCCTCCTTTTCCTTATCCATCCCCCTTCCTGGGGCGAGCACTGCCCACGACGAACGTCAGGCGCGAGCGACCGGTGGCCAGAGCGTTCAGCGGAGCGCCAGGGAAACGACGGGGCCAGCGATGCCCGGAGGCGGGCTGTGCCCTTTTTCATCTTGTGACTCTCACGTATCAGAAACGAGCCCCTGCAGGGCCTCCAGACGGCCTCAGGCGTCCTGGCGCCCTTTTGCCAGAATCCATAAACCATCGGGTCCAAAGAACCCATGGATTCCCAATCCCAAAAGACTCCAAACGATTTGGTACGGAATCCGTGAGAAATAATAGAAAAATGATCATCGATCTCTGGAAAAGTCTTTTGCATTTCCAGAAAGCTCATCAAGATCCCCTGGGGACTCCGATGGACCCCGTATGGATCCGACGCGATTTCTGTAGGCAGTCCAAGGATGAATTCCTCATGCGCCTCGAGGGTGTATTCAGGATTCGGAACGTTTTGTGGATACGGCCACTTCCACTGGAATCCTTCGGACGTCCTCAACACTCGCACACCTCTTCTCTGCATCCCTGAAAATTTACACTGGGTTGTTCGGGGCTCCAGCGGCAGTCCAGAAAAGTTCCCGAAGAGTCCGCTGATGTGCTACGTACATGAAAATGACTATGCACATACACCGATCCTGGCCAGGCCCATCCTGAGCCCAGGATCGGTGCATACGCCCTCCTGTCTTGGCCAGGAAAGCATATGCACCGATCCTGGGTCACGGGTGGGCCTTGCGGGGATCGGTGCATGTGCAATCCCGACGAGGGGTCGGCCTGCGTGCGCGCGCTCTCTCGCGTGAATCCGCCTCCTCGTCCGCCTGCGCGGCCACCAGCACCCACGCCACATCCTCCTCCTCGCCACCAACGCCAGGCCCCGTGGCAATCTACTCCTTGATCGCACGCGCGAGGGTACCCATGGGGCCTTCCCCAGCAAAAATCAAAGAGTTCGAATCGGTGCGGCTGGATCGCTTGCCTTTCCCCACCGTACCTCCTCCTCCCATTCTTTCAGTCGCCTCGCCTCCCAGCCGCTCCAATACGAGCTCAAGGCGTCGCCAGGATCACTCTGAGACGGCCCCAGAAAGGCCATGCGATTTTAATCTCGGATCCCATACTCCCTGAATCACACCAGCGGCCATATATAAAGAACTCATGCCCGAAAACGGCGTCCCAACGGCCCTCCCTTGATATTCTTAGAAAGCTTCCAGACGCCTGCCTCTGAGAGACCCCACCGAAAGCATTGAACCCCACGTTGTGTGATTCATATTATTCGCACCCAGCCCTTTCACGCCTTCACATGGTATCGACAAGTACCAAGGATAACGACACACACCCCAACTCGTCCCACGATAGTCACGCATGTCTCCAAGAGGCCTTCTGGAAAGCACCATCGGCTCCAATGAATACTACGATGACCCCAGGCAGCCCAACATCAAGATCCCAAGAAGTCGCAACGTGGCTCCGTTAAATCCCACCAGCCCCGTGGGCGTAACTGATTTAGAGCATTTGATATTCCAACCCCCTTTCTTCCCCTTCGAGGAGGGCTTTACCCGCCACAATTACACAACGTGAATACTACTCTCCTCTCTCCCCTGGTGACGTCCAGGAAGTGTCTGGCCCCCCTTACACGAACTGGTTCTTTGAACACACAATTCCCAAGAAGGGTGGTTTCGCTTCGGCTTGTTTCAAAATGCTGCTCTGGCTGAGACACTGGCCTCATTTCGGGCTGCCGCCCGATCCGAATCGTGCTCCCTCTTCAGCGCTGGCCTCATTTCCGCGCTTCCGCTTGTTCCGACTTGTGCTCCCGCTGCAGCGCTGGCGTCATTATTCTCAGCGCCATGCCGCAGCATGGGTTTCGGTCCTTCCAAAAAGGCCCCAAACTTTAGAAATTGCCCCCCCGAAACAACCATCGGAAGTGTTTCCACATTCGGTGTCGATTCGTGGATGTTTAGGGTCGCAGAAGCCCCCCCCCCCACTTTGGGGCGTCACCACGCCATGGTATGTCAGGCTACGCGCCCTTCGAGTCGTGCTCCCGCTGCAGCGCTGGCCTCATTTCCGCGCTTCTGCTCGTTCCGATCTTGCCCCCGCTTCAGCGCTGGCATCATTGTTTCCAGCGCCATGCCACGGCATGGTTTGCGGTCCTTCCAAACAGGCCCAAAAACTTAGAAAATATCCTCCGAAACATCCATCGGAAGTGATTCCACATTCGGTGTCGATTCGTTGATATTTTGGACCGCAGACCCCCCCCCACCCCACGTTGGGGGGTCGCCACGCCATGCTATGTCAGGACACGCGTTGATCTTCAACACCATGCTATGCCATGCAATGCTATGCTCTGCTCCGACATCCAACTGTGCGAATACAGAGGAGATCTACGCCATGGATGGAAGGGAGGGTTAGGACGTCAGATATGACGCGAGCGCATCTAGCTTTATGTTTGTTTTCATCGTACTTAGAAGCCACATCCCACAAATAATTTCGAGCACCCGGAAAAGTGTCGAAACACTGTCGAAACAGTGTCGAACGACTATCTTCCAGGGCCCGACACGTGACAGCCCAGCCATTTCAGCATGTTCCTGGTGCTCGACATTCTCTCTCGCGATCAAGGCTCAAACAAATGGGACCTCATGAATCTAGCCTGCCCTCCTCCCCTGCCCCCTTTGAGCAGGGACCGACCGTCCCGGCATTCCTATAGTGCTACCACGAAATGCTCTTAGAACCCAAAAATGCTCTTATAACCAAAACAATATTTTTAGAACAGAAACCCCATGTGTTAAAACAAGACACTCCCCGCCAGAAATGTTCTAAGAACATTTCGTGGAAACCACAAAAGGTTCTTAGAACACTGTTTGGTAGGGCTATAGGCGAGCCAGGACGCTTCGCCACTGCTTGACCCCTAGGTCTGGACGGGGCGCCCCGAGACCGACTGGAACGCCCGCGGTGGCCTCGGCGGCACGGCACCGCTCACGCCTCTTTTGATTGGGTGCTGGGCCGATTCCGGCCTCCTGGAGGGCGGGGGCCTTCTATTGGGCCCCCCCCCTTCTTCGATTCCGAGATGGCCCCAGGATGGCCCCAAGATGGCCCCGAAGGCTCCCCCAGGGCGGCCCGGAAGGGCCCTCCAGAGGCGCCCAGGATGCCCCAAGGGGCCCCCAGGAGGCTCCTTTACGAGACCCCGAAGACGCACCCACGAGGCTCCCCCGAGGCACCCAATACGCCCTCAGAGGCCCCCAAGACCGCCAGGAGGCCCCAGAGACGCCCCAAGAGGACCCCGACAAGCTTCCAAGAGGCATCCGAAAGAAATCCTTTGCATCGGGCGATGCCCACCGAAATCTTCGGCGATGGTTCCCGAAGGTGCGCGCGCTCACCGGAACGATGTGCGCGGGGCGCACGGCGGGCGGAGTGGGCGAGTCGGCGCGGGGGCGTGGTGCTGGTGGTGGCCTGTGCTGGTCATGCAGGGGGGGCGCTGGGTCCGCACCGGCTCGCGTGTGTTGTGGTGTGAGGTATGGTGTTGTGCTGTGTTGTGTGTGGCAATGTCTGTCATAGCTCCGGGTGTTCTGCTAGGCTGTGTCTTGCTACGCTCTGGCACGGGGCGCCGCGAACTGTCATGGTGTGGGTTGTCATGGTATATCATAGTATGTGATGCGATGCTGTGTTATGGTGTGGTCAGGTATGTCATGGCTGATTGCATGTAATACTACGTTATGCCATGGTATGATATGCTCTATTATGTTATGGTATGTATGCTCCGATATGTGATAGGATGCAGTATTATGCTCTGGTGTGCTATGATATGGTATGCCATGCTATGTGATGGTGTGCCATGGTATGTGTTGGTATTGATGTGTTGTTGTATGCTTGTTTTGTCACCATGTGGAATGATGTGTGCTGTGATGCAGTGCTATGGTATGCACTGCTCTGTCATGGTGCGTTGTGTTATGTTAAGATATGGTCTGCCATGATATCTGCTCGGATATGTTCGGTGGTGTGGTGCTATGCTCAGTTCTGTGGGGGACCTGGGGATCTGGCGGCCGCGGTATGCAGAGTGGGCGAGTCGGCGCCAGGGGGCGGGACCCTCAGGGATTATCGGGGGACCTGGGGATCTGGCGGCCGCGGTATGCAGAGTGGGCGAGTCGGCGCCAGGGGGCGGGACCCTCAGGGATTATCGGGGGACCTGGGGATCTGGCGGCCGCAACATGCAGAGTGGACAAGTCGGCGGGGGGGCGGGACCCTCAGGGATTATCGGGAGCCTGGGGATCTGACGGCCGCGGTACGCAGGGCGTGGGGGGGGGGCGGGAGCACCAGGTATTATCCAGAGCCTGGGGACCTGGCAGCCGCGGTATGCAGGGCGGGGGGTGGGGGGGCAGGACCACCAGGGATCATCGGGAGCCCGAGGATCTGGCAGCCGCGGTGTGCAAGGAGGGCGGGCTGCGAGGTCTGTTCTTAAAACCTAACGACACCAACCTGTTGGGTTAAATACAAGAGAGGCAGCCAAGAGGCCTCTGGCGTTTCTGCTCGCCCTCCTCCTCTTCATCCTTCTCCTCTTCCTGCTCCTCCTCCTCCCTCCTCCCTCCTCCCATTCCATTTCTCTCCCCCTCCCCCTCCTCCTCCTCCTCCTCTTCCTCCTCCTCCGCCTCCTCGTCCTCCTCCTCCTCGTCCTCATCCCTCCTCCTCCTCCTCCTCCTCCTCCTCAGATTCCTCCATCCTCCCCCTCTTGGGGTACGGCG